CAGTTTATTGATTGGAATGTTTATAAGCAATGGTCAAAAATGGTTTAATTTTAATTTGTAAGAAATTATTCACTAAATGTATTTATGTCAAATATGAATTGTTTAATAGAAATGAGAAACGTGATACAATAGAACCATAGATCTTTGGATTTGTTCTGGAAAACAAAGCCTTCCACACAATACCTTCCCTTTGTCATATGCTAAGTTTCTCTATGAAGCCATCACACAGTGATACTGAGGAAACTAGGGTGCACCTTTTGACCAATATGTCATTATTAAGTTCCCTGCCTGCCATATCATTGACAAACCCATGTAGGCTTTCATATCCCAGGCATCCATAAGTGTTGTTTGGGGTGCTTTTAAATGAGGGAATTATTTTAAGTAAACTCTGGCTTTCAAATGTCTATGCTTTCTCTACATTGATACCTGCTTTCCTTTGTACTTAATATATCTAATGTTCAAGTAAATGAACAAAAAGCTTATGAGCTATTATGTTGTAAAGTTGCAAATGATAAGAATGAGGTTGAAGGAAGATTAAAAAAAAAAAAACCAACCAACCAACAAACAACAAAATAGATGCATGAGGTCACATGAGTAGAAACTGAGCAAGCTTTTTAGGTGGCTATTACAGTAAGAACATTAAAAATTCAAATACTTTGGCATGATCAGTACTTAAACAAAGACTTGAAGAAATTGGTTGTGATTTGAAGGCTTGCTTCTGCATCCACGGACTTTTTCTAAAGATATTGGACACTTGGGAAATCATACTGTACTCCTACCTCAGCCCCTTGACCAAGCCTTTTTATTTACTTATTTATTTTTGTTCAAGTAAAATCTGGTTAATGAATAGTCAGTGTTCCCATAAAGAATGAATGGCAGCCTGAAGCCAGAGTGTGGATAACAAAGTGCTAGGAGGCAGGCTCTGCAGAATCAATGTATGAAAGCTTAAAGATGTTCTAAATTCAACTCAGAAAATATGGTTTCTTTCTTACTCACTATTTTAAAGTTTGTGAGAAACTTAGGAACCCAGTATTGGTACTTGGGATCCCTACACACTTCCATGTGTAGGCTCAGATAGAAACCTTACTTTGCATAACTGGGTGTGTCAGGAAATCTCTGTGTTCTAGGTTGTTAGGTTGATAATGCTTTAATTGTATATAGGTCTTTAGAGTTTGCAAAGATCTTTCTTGTGCATCATTTGAATCCCATACAAGTTTGGAGTGGGAAGATGGACAGGATATTATTCTTATGCTGTTCTAGAAGGAGGGGATTAATGATTAACATATAGATTACCCAGGAAACAAGGAGCTGGCATAAAAATTCAGGTCACTTGTGGCTTCAGGACCCTTTTTAGTCTCCTGTGTTATGTTACACATGATAAGCATGGTGTCACATGGAGAAGCTAGATGTGCAACAGGCTCAGCTGCTTAGGAGCCTCTCTGTGCAGTTGATTTGCCTTCAGGGGAGGAGGTGGTTCCTGCAGGGATAGTCAGTTTGTAAAGAGTGTGTGTGTGTGTGTGTGTGTGTGTGTGTGTGTGTGTGTGTGTGTGTGTAAGAGAGAGAGAGAGAAAGAGAGAGAGAGAGAGAGAGAGAGAGAGAGAGAAGGGGGAGGAGAGCTGAAAGAGTGGGCACGGACAGAAAAGTGTGTCTCTTTGCGCTCAGCCTCCCACTATTGTCCTTTCTTGAATGAATGATTGGTTCCATCAGAACGTGTTTACACCTCAGTGATCCACCTGCACAACTGCATGAACTACAATGAAAAGGAGAGGATATGTGTGTTTTCACATTGCTTAAAGAACTGTAAGCTTTATGGTTTTTTTTTTCTTGAAATTTTCACAATAATCATAATCTGTTTTAAAACAAAATAGCGCCCCCAATTTTCTTAAGGAAAATAAAAAAAATCAGAGGATGGTATGATTCCTTATGAACCCTTTATCTAGCTTAAACATCATCAATATTTCACCTAACTTACTATTTTTATTTGATTAAAGTTTAATTTAAAATGTAAATTACAAAATATGCCAGGCATCTAGAAAATAATAGTACATGCACTTAAATTTCTGACACTATTAGTCAGCATACATTATTTTTGTGTGTTAAACATGATAATGAGCTGCAATAATTGAAAGATTGAAAATAGACACAGAGCACACAAACTAAGAAGGGTGTAATAAGAGCATTTTGTAATTTACCAGAATATACCTGCTATCATGTCTTTAAAAATAGAATTCTGCATAACAATTGGTGTGACTCCTAAATGCCTTCCTGAACACAGTGACAGTCATATGTCAGGTGACAGTACTTTAATGGCACTTGGGTCTGCTGTTGGATCATAGGTGTTGCTGGAGCACTCTGTCTGCCTTGGTGTATACTCACAGTTTCTTGCTGTTAGGTGTGCCCATTGGGAAGTCACCACCATCTGTTCCAGCTCCCTTAGATTGCTGTGTCTCTGCTCTGGCGTCAGGTACTGCTGAGTTGATCACAGTTCCACTGAGCTACCTCCATCTCGCACCTTCTGAGAATCATCTTCAGCCCCTTAGTCTAGAGCACACTTTTGTTGGAGAAATCTTCTCTAGACATACTAATTGCAGCAATGACTGGCATTGTGTTACTTAATTTTTAAAAACCTATGAGATAATTTTTAAGGATTCATTAGACAAATCATTTTTCCCACACTTATTGAAAATATTTATAAAAGCTTTTTGTAGGTTTCTTCCCCTAGCAGTTCATTATAGGTAACATAATTTGAGTAAGTTTGTATTGATTTAGGCTCAGGCAATATCACAGGGATAACAATGAGTCTTTGAGTGACAGAAATATAGAACATGGAGAGAATTATTCATTTGTTCAGAAACACTTGCTGAGCTCCTGATGTATGCCACAGCACAGTGGCAGCCATTAAAACTATTCTAACACTAATTTTTTTCTTCTTATGATTTGTGACTATGTATATGTGTGCCCACACTTTACATGTACTCCATGCATATGCATGCAGGTGCTTGTATGTGAGAACATGTGCTCACATGTGTGCACACATGTTTGTAGAAAGGGCAGCTTGGCTGTCATTCGTCAGGTGCCATCCTTTTCTTGTTCTTTGAATCAGGATCTCTCACTGGTCTGGTTCTCACCTAGTGGCTAGTGTGGCTGCCAGGGAGTGGCATGGCTCTGCCCCTCAGTGTTGGGATTACAAATCTGCTCTACACTTAGCTTTGTTACATGGATTTGGGGACCTAACCCAGTTCCTAACCAGCACACTCTATCCCTCTCTGTTAAAACAATTATTCTTCTCTATCAGTTCAGTATAAAAGTCTAGTTAGCAAGTTAGCATTATGTTTGTTGTAATCTATTAACTGAAATTTAATGTGATTTCCTTTGATTCTGGTATTCACTAAAAGTGGACTGGCAGGTGTATCTGACAGTCAACATTACTTGCCTGCACAACTTCACCAAATAAACCTAGTAATAACCCGCTTCCCATAACAAAGCATATGTTATAATCTTTTATAAGGTTATCCTTTGATCGACTAATATGATAAAATTATAAAATAGTAATCCTATCAACTCTTTTGTAGGTTGTTTTAACTTTATAAGAAAAAAGAGAAGGAATTGGTGTAAGAGAAAAGACAGTTTAATAAACAATTACGTTAGACATTATTTGAATATACTTATGTCAAAATGTAGAGATTTCATATTTCTTAAAGGTAGAAAATACCTTTTAAAAACATCAACAATGTGTAACTTATAATCTAATTTGTAGTTATAGTATATGCTATATGCTTTTTTAGTTATAAGTGCTATTATTAATGATCATAAATAACAAGAGATAAGTGTTTAGAGTTTACAACATATTTTGTCATTTTTTTAAAAAGTAATTCAGAAAATTTAAAAATTCAAATGACCATAGATATAGGTACATGTGACAAAAGTTTGGGCAAAACATAACTTTTATAAGAGGAAGAGGAAGGAAAGTAGTAGTGGGGATGGGATTCATGGGAGGAGGTAGGCCAGACTGTGTCACCTGGTTTCTATAGCTACACTACCGCCCTACCATAGCACTTCCATGGGCTTTTGAAATTTGTTGGCTATGTGTCTAGTGTTTCCTTCAAGACTGAAGCTCAACCAGACAACACCCCACTTTTAAAATTTGCCCTTTTCTCCCCATAACCTGGTTTAGTACCTGAGTCGTAGGACGGATTTAAAGGAAGAGGCATTGGTAAAGGGACAATGATGCGGACTAAAGAGCACAGGAGAGGAAAGCTGTCACCTTCTTTTCCAGTTGAAAAGAGATTTTTCATACAATACCTTCTAATTATGATTTTCTCTCCCCCAGCTCCTTCCAGATCCTCCCCCTCTCCCCAAGTCCACACACCTCCTTTCCATCTTTCATTAGAATACAAACAGGCATCTAAAACATAATGATAAAATGCTAATAAACCAAAGTAAGATGAAAGAAACAAACTGACAGAAGAAAAAGATCCAAAGGAAAAGAATCAGAAACATATATAGACACAGGGACACATGTTCCCACACAGAAATCCCATGAAACACAACACTGGAAACTATAATACTTACCTAAAGACGAATAAGGGAGAGGAGGAGGAAAAAAATTAAAGAAAAAAATTAAGATAATGCCCAAACAAAGCATATGAGACAAAGAATCTTTAAAACTGCAATTAAATTTATATTGTATCAGCCTTCTACTTCTGGGCATAGAGTGTGTCTTTAAGAGTGATTTGTAAGCTGGACAGTGGTGGCACATGTTTTTAATCCCAAGACTTGGGAGGCAGAGGCAGGTGGATGTGTGTGAATTAGAGGCCAGTCTGGTCTACAAAATCAATTACAGCATGGGTTGTTACACAGAAAGAGAAACCTTGTCTCAAAAAACCAACAGACCAACCAACCAAACAAACAAACAAAACAAAAACAAAAATAAAAGTCATTTATGTACCTAGTGAGACTCTGTTGGAGAAAACAGCCTTTTCTATTTGTGAGCACTTGTCAATTGGAGATACCCTGGGGCTTAGGAATTGAGGCTTTTTCCTACTTCCCCTCTCAACACTGGTATCCCACCTGATCCTGATCTGTGCAGGCCCTGTGCATGTTGCCACAGTCTCTGAGTTCATATGTGTGTCAGGCTTGCTGTATTTGGAAGGCCTTGTTTCCAACCCAGCCTCAAACCCTTCAGTCCTCAAAGCCATTTCTTTGAAATGAGTAAGTTTGGAAATATTATACCTGGATGCAGTTAAAACTCATTTAGTTTGTATTCTGTGAGGATACTCTTTCAGTAGACATTTTGACTTATTGACAAATGAAAATGGTATATTCAAATTATGAAGTAATTCCTAAAGCAATAAAAAAATAAGTTATGTTTTTATAAGTTACTAAGTTATGTAGCAGATCATCGAAATTCTATGAAAAATAGTGGTCTACATGCTGTAAATATAGTAGCTGCTTAATTAGATTGTTGGGTTAATAAGAACATCCCAGTTTTGATTTCAATAGATACCAGAGACTAATTGGTACAATTGATAGAGAGGTGTTTTTTAAAGGTATTTGGATTTAACATTTTAGGGTGGGAAATAATACCTCTTATTGTTAAACATTAGCATAAAACAAGAACATTTCATCCTATTAAATATGAGCTCAGTGTTTACATACCAGCATTATAAATTGTGATTGTGATCTAAACTTGGCCATAGTTGCATTTTGCAGTAGATTTTTCTTTTATTGTATCAGGGCTACTTTTAGTGACTTTAAATTATAGCCATTTAAAAGGATGTCATGGACCTAGGGGACTTTGTAAAAAAATGGAGATTCTGCACATTGCCATTGAATTGTGTTTCCTTTTTGCAAAACAAGAACATTAGGCAAATACAGTTATTCTTGCTGTAGGTTCGTTTGTGGTTTATTTCCATTTATTTATTCCTTTATTGGTTCTTACCATTATTTGAGAGACTGAATGTCCTGTTGCTTTGTGCACAATCACAATATAGCCAACATTTTCAAAGATTTTAAGCAAGTTTTATTAGCTTCAATGGAAATAAAATCAAAACCAATCAGTTTTTAGTGTTTTTAGGAAGGTCCCATGCTGGTGTGTATACGTATGTTTCTGTTCTCCTTTATAAGCTATGGTTAAAGATACCCCCTGACACGAGGATCAGGATCCATCCCTGGTACATGAACAGGCTTTTTGGAGCCCAGTGCCTATGGTGGGATACCTTGTACAGCCTTGATACGAGGGGAGGGGCTTGGATCTGCCTCTACTGAAAGTACCAGGCTCTGCTTATTCCCCCTCAGAGGCCTTACCTTGTGTGGGAGGAGGGGAAGAGAGGGGGATCTGTGGTTGGTATGTAAAATGAATAAAAAATTACTTAACTAAGAAAAAGATAACAATTCACTACTAAACTCTCTATAAGTACACTATAACAATTTTTTTAAAAGTATGATGATATGTTGGGCATTTCTATTTTGTAATACAAACTCATTTGTTGTTGCAAAACACCTTAAGGATTTCATGCAATGACTTTGGTGTTATATTTCTGTTTTAAAATTTTGAATCAAACTTACCTTTAAAAGTTGGCATATTTTTTTTTGTTTATGATTGTTTATACATAATCACATTGCTGATTACTTGCAAGGATTCTATTTTAATTACCTACTACCTGATATCTTGACCTGAAACTCAAGTGGCCATGCAGGCCTTTGTGTGTGGCTCCTCTTTGTCATTATTTCATGATTCTCATTCTTGTATGTAAACATTAAATACATTTTAATTCTACCTCTTTGCTTTGTCTTGCTTATTTTTATTTATTTATTTTTTTTGAGACAAGATCTTACTTTGTAGCCTAGGTTAGACATAATTCCCTATGTAGCTCAGGTTCCTCCTGCCTCAGCCTTCTGAGTTTTGAGATTATAGACTTAGAACAGCACACCCTACTAATTCTGTCATAATTGATAGATTTATATTTGATATTATACCAAAATACCACACATACACATACACACATATATACACACACATGCATAATCAGATTTCAAGTATTGAAAGTATTAATTTTAATAAAGTGGGCTTAAAATACCTATAATTTTCATATCTGACAAAGTAGATTTTAATTGTTAAATGTATAGTTTCTTAGTTGTATAAATATATTTGCATTTTTATTTATCTTATAATTTCCATAAATTCCATAATTTCCATACATTCAAAATTTACATTTTTAGGATAACTAAAAATAAAAATTAATGTTTCAACAATAATAAATTATATATCTTTAAAATTAAAAATAGACTAAAAAACTGCTCAAACTCAAAGATTCTTATTATGGAAATATACTTTTTCCGTATCTGTTTTTTTAAAAAGGAAAAAAGTATGTGGTCATTTTAGCTTAAATACTTTATATATTTTATTTTGGACTTTATGTGAGGAAATTGGAGTAATTATACACATTTTATTTTCAGAATTGAATTTTATACTAAAACAAATAACTGTTATAATCATCT